TATATAATATATACTATAAATTTATTAAATTCTATAATAATAATTTTAAAAACTATATCTAAAATGATTTTTTTTATTGATTAACAAACTAAGAATTTTTAGTTTGTAATTATATTTGATCCATTTTTTTAAACTAAATTTTAAATAGACCCATTATAAAAGCGCACTCAAATGATATTATACATTTTATATAATACTCTTAAAAAAATCCCACTCATATTTTTGTTTTGAAAAAAATCAGAATTAAATAAAATCAAACAAAAATATTAATAGCGACGTCTAAAAATACGTGGTAATCTTATAACATTATTCATTTATATTATTAAATAGATCATCTCTTTTTAATTTTGTATTTGTACCAGTAAATACCCCCCTCGGTCGGAAACTAGGCCAAGAGGGACACCAAAACGAATGAAAGCTTCCACACGACCCTCCTTCGGGTTGGAACCTGGCCGAAGAAGTTCTCGGTCATAGGAATAACCAAATACCCCTCCATCATGAAGGAAGAACCTTGACAAGACAAGTACCTACGAAGGACGCTCAGGACACCCCTCGGCATTGAGCCCAACCGAACACCCTTTCGGTCCCAAGCAAAACTGAACACCCTTTCGGCCCCAAGCAAAACCGAATCCCCCCTTCGGCACCAAGCATACCACTTCGGCACCAAGCATACCACTTTGAACCTTAAGCTGGGGAAAAATCCCTAAGTCATAAAAGAAGCATCTAAAGGGAATGCTCAAACATACTCCTCGGCATGGAGCTACGCCGGACCCCCCTTCGGCTCCATCATAGGCCGAGCACCCCTCAACAACCTAGCCCATACGAACACCCCTTCGGCCTCATGCTCTGCCGAATACCTCCTTCGACCTCAGACTTGACCGAATACCCCCCTTCAGCCTCGAGCCTGGCCGAATACCTGAGAGAAGGACAAATCAGGGAACACAGGGCAGGTTAACACGTCTATTACTCAAGAATCACTTCGCCTAATTGAGAGAGATTAAGGATAATCAAGATGTTACCCATCTCCCAAGACAGAAGGCCCACCAGGCCCAAACATGTCACTATAAATACTCAAGTGATGGGACATAAATGAGGTACGATTTATTCCATATAAAAGCACTTATTGCTCTATACCGAATACTTACTTGATCGTCGGAGTGCCTTTGCAGGTACCTTCCCCACCATTCGAAGACAGTATTCGGTCGGCACCGAAGACCTAGAAGATCAAGGAGAAGGAGCGACAAGAGGAGTGTTTCTACGCAGGAACATTTTGGCGCCCACCGTGGGGCCAAAAACCAAAATGGTTCTCGACCCGGAAGCAAGATGGTGACAACTAGGAGTCAACAAGAGAATGTAGCCGATCACCCCTTCGGGATGCCCCGCGACACCATTAGACGGCAAACTAATCAGAACGAGGAAGGAATGGAAGAATCGTATGTGGACCGATCCCAACAACCCAACCCGTCGTCGGCCATCGAACAGCTGAAGGCCGAAATGATGGAACTCAGGAAGCTCCGAGAAAAGGACGCCCACGAATTATCGGTCCTTAGAAGAGAGAATGCCGAACTCAGAAGTGACAACAGGTCATGGCACCCATCTCATGATACCCCCAACACCCAATCCACTCAGGACCATGGGGAGTCGTCGGGGTGGTACAAAGAAACGAAGGCCCCTCGGCCACCTGGTGGAGGGACGACAACAACCATGGATCAGCAAAGGAAGCAGGGGAGGACGCCATTCACCTCGGATATTGCCGGAGCCCGATTGCCCGACAATTGGAAGAATTTGGCCTTAGAAAAATACGATGGAACCGCCGATCCCGAAGAACATCTCGATGCATTCGTTACTCAAGTCGGGTTGTACACCGATGACGACTCGATCATGTGTAAAGTCTTCCCCACCTCTTTAAAAGGACCGGCCCTGAATTGGTTCACGAGACTCCCACCAGGATCAGTGGAATCTTTCACAACCTTGTCCTCCCGGTTCGTAATACAATTCGCCACAAGTCGACCTCATCAGCTCACTTCAATTGCATTGGTCAATATCCGCTAAGAAAAGAAAGAACCCCTGAGAACCTTCATGGAACGGTTCAGAAGAATGACCCTCTCAATCTGAGACCTAGATCCAGCGGTAGCCAGGCACCACCTCATCACGGCGTTGAGACCGGGCCCTTTTGTAAACAGCCTAAGTAAAAAGCCGCCCCGGGATCTGGACGACATTCGGCAAAGAGCTACTAAGTATATGCAAATGGAAGAATTGGCCGAGTTCAGAAATCAGAACCGGGCCGTGATAGTAATATTTTAGTATATCTTTATTTATGTGTTTTTACCTTATTTGATTCTTTTTAGTATCCTATATTCATGTTTTAGTTTAGTTTTGCATTAGTGAATCATTTAGGAATTAGTTATAAATTTTACTAATTTTCCGTAAGAATTTCCTGTTTTGACACAGTTTCTTGTACAAGCCATATCTGGAGCTATTCAACTCGGAATTTGGCAAACTTGGTGTCCCTGTAAAGATAAGACAGAGATCTACAATTCTCATGTTGGACGAAAAACCCAGTTTGGACATTTTCAGACCCAAAATCGTGCTTTAAAGTCGCGGCTCTGCACTGAATTGTTCAGCTTGTCATGAAACTGATTAGTTTAGTTAATTAGGCTTTTCAATTGTAATTAGTGGACTGGACCTTTGACTTTAGGCCCATTATTTTGTCTTTAAAACCATGTAATGATTCAGGAGTGGGTCTGGGGGGAAAAATCATTTGTTAGATTTTCAGATTGGAGATTACTTCCTGAAGAAGTTTCTCTTCCAAGTTCTCTCTTCTCTCTTTAGAAGCTTTGCATCTTTCTTTCTCTCATTTTCCTCTTACACGAATTTTTCTCTGTCTCACGGAATTTCTTTTCTCAATTGGAATTTGCTGCAACATGATAATGAGGCAAAGCTAATTCCTTAATCGGTTTAAGGTTTCAAGAACTACGGTAAATTTGAGTTTCTAATTTTTACCGAACGAATTCTTTCTTCTTCTTCTCCTCTTTTCTGTTTAGTTTAAATTCGGTTTTCATGATATTGAATCTCTGTTTTGATTCCTAATTGAAAATGAGAAGAAGTATTTTCTGATTAGAAATAACCTAAATCCCTAATTCAATCGGTTACTTTTCTTGAATTTTGTTGAAATTTGGAATGTGCGATTGTAGTTTCTGTTTTAATAAAATTCAAAATCTAGATTTAGAAAACTGTTTGGATTAATTTCGGATTGAATTAGATGGATTGAGAATTCGTATTCATTGTGAACAATGATGATTATACTGTAGGAATTGAAACCTTGAACTGAACTCTTATACTACTGAAATTTTGTGTTGATTTGATTTCTTTGCTTTCTTGATACTGTTCTAATTGTTTGTTTGAAAATTTCTCTCCCGAGTTCTAAATTGATTTACATACATGATTAAATTCAAAATACAATGTGCTTGTGTCCTTGAGAGATGACCTAGGTTAAGTCCTCTATATTACAGAAATTTGTTGAAGAACCTAGAATTGTTTGATAGTGATACGACTTAGCTATCAGGCCGACCTTCTCCCAGGAAAGAAAGAAGCTAAAAAGGAGCATCTTCTAAGGCCTCGTCCCTGAGACATGCCTGATCGAGATAGAACCAACAGGGGCCCCCGGTATGCACAATACACGCCGCTTAACGCTAGTAGGACCAAGGTGTTGGAGCAGGCATTGGCCACAGAGATCCTCGCGGTGCCCCGCCGCGCTATGACTCCACCCCACGCAGACAAAACCAAAACATGCCAGTTCCACAAGAACCGGGGACACACCACAGAGGAATGCACGACCCTCCGAGATCGCATTGAAGATCTCATCAAGACCGGTCATCTACAAAACTTCACCCAACCCTCAAGTAGGAAGAGGTACGACAACTTCCATGATAAGAGGGAGTCCGGAAGAGGGAACCGTGAAAGGGCACCTCCGAGGCACAGGTCCAGGGAACGAAGCAGGACCCTGGAGAGAAATGATAGGCAGCAAGATCGGAATCAACCCAGGAGGGTCATAAACACAATTGCCGCCAATTACCTTCACCGACAAGGACTTCAAGGGAGTTGACCCAGTGCAGGACGACCCCATGGTCATCAGTGTAGAGATCAACAATTGTATTGTAAAGAAAACGCTGGTGGATCAGGGAAGTTCAACCGATATCTTATATTGGAAAACCTTTGAACAACTAGGTATACTCGAACACGAGTTGACACCTTATAACGAGCCCTTGGTTGGATTTTCAGGTGAAAGAGTGGATACCTGAGGGACGATAGACCTATACACGTACTTCGGAGACAACCAGCCAAGGCAAAGGATTAAAGTACGATACGTGGTGGTGAATGCTAACACCTCGTACAACATCTTGTTGGGCCGACCTTCCCTGAACAAGCTCCGGGCTATCGTCTCCACTCCCCACCTGGCTATGAAGTTCCCCTCAGAAGAAGGCATGGTTATCACACTGCATGCCGATCAAAAGATGGCCCGCGAATGTTATTTCGCTAGCTTAAGAGTGCAGCCAACTCCGAAGCCGAGACGAGAAGTCAACACCATAGGAGATGTTCGTCTCCAAAGTCCGGCCATAGACTTGGAGCTCGACCCGCGAATTGAAGATGAGCACCGAGTTGAACCAATCGAGACGACAATCCCCTTTCAACTCGAAAGAAGCGAGGAACAGGTCACGTACTTAAGTTCTCAACTGACGGAGGACGAAGCAAGAGAAATTAGGCACATCCTCGTAAGATACTCGGATCTATTTGCCTGGACGGCGGCCGACATGCCCGGTATCGACCCAAGTTTCCACTGCCATCGGCTCTCCGTGTGCTGAGATGCCAAGCCCATCGCCCAGAAGAAAAGAAAAGTGGGAGGAGAGAGGGCTCAGGCAGTAAGAGAAGAGACGACTAAATTGTTGCAAGCCGGATTCATCCGAGAAGTTAAATATTCCACTTGGTTAGCCAACGTGGTGATGGTCAAGAAGGCAAGCGAAAAGTGGCGGATGTGTACCGACTACACGGATCTGAACAAGGCATGCCCGAAGGATGCCTATCCCTTGCCACAGATTGACGCACTTGTCGACGGGGCGGCAGGCCATCAAAGATTGAGCTTCCTAGACGCTTACTCGGGATACAATCAAATACCTATGTACCCGCCTGATGAAGACAAGACCGGGTTTATCACTGATTCGGCCAATTATTGCTACAGGGTGATGCCATTCGGCTTGCGAAACGCAGGAGCAACCTACCAGCGTCTCATGGACAAGATCTTCCGTCGACAGATCGGAACTTGTATGGAAGTATATGTTGACGATATGGTGATTAAGTCGACATCCCCAGATGACCACTTGAGAGACCTTACCACCATTTTTGACGAAGTGAGGCGACATCGTATGCGATTGAACCCGACCAAATGCACCTTTGGAGTTGCCGGGGGAAAGTTCTTAGGTTTCATGCTATCCAAGAGAGGCATAGAGGCGAATCCCGACAAGTGTCAGGCAATCATCAGCATGAGAAGCCCCGACAACGTAAAGGAAGTCCAACGGCTGGCTGGCCGTATCGCCTCCCTGGCTTGTTTCTTGCCGTGCATGGCGGAAAGGGCGAGGCCGATAATGTCTTTGTTAAAAAAGGCAAGAAAAGGCCAATGGACGGAGGAGTGTGAGTCTTCATTCCAAGACTTCAAGAAAAGGTTGGCGGCCCCGCCCCTACTAGCCAAGCCAAACCCCCTTTTAGAGATGATCGTCTATATCTCCGTGTCAGACAAAGCTATCAGCACGGTCCTAGTACAAGAGCAAACGGAACAAATACAAATATATTTCATCAGCCGAGTTCTACAAGAAACAGAGCCCCGATATCAACATCTTGAGAAGACAGTCCTAGCTCTCGTACACACGGCCCGTCGTCTTCGGCACTTCTTCCAGAGCCACAAAGTAGTTGTCAGGACGGACTGCCCGATCGTCAAGGTCTTGCGGAAGCCCGAACTAGCAGGGCAAATGGTTTCTTGGTCGGTAGAATTGTCGCAATTCGAAATTCGTTTTGAACCAAGAGGTCCCATCAAGGCACAAAGTATGGCAGACTTCATAAACTAATTCGCCCCTGAAGCACTGCCTGAACCACACGTCTGGACATTGCATGTGGATGGATCATCAAATCTGCAGGGTAGTGGAGCCGGCATCATACTCGAGGGCCCTGGTAAAGTAGTAATTGAACAGTCATTACGGTTCGGCTTTAAGACCTCCAATAACCAAGCCGAGTACGAAGCCCTCCTAGCCGGCCTGCGATTGGCAAGCGACTTAGGTGTTGGTAGGATTAAATGTTGGAGTGATTCGCAAGTGGTGACAGGACAGGTCAACGGCACCTTCCAAATAAAAGAACCAACTTTGCTCTTGTACTTCCATGCGTTCCACAAGTTGAAGAGAAAATTTGATGATGTATCTGTTGAGCACATACCCCGTGAACTCAACACAAGAGCCGATCAATTGGCCAGGTTAGCTAGTAGCAAGAAGATTAGCCACCTACGCAGCATGATACAACAAGAACTCCATAAACCTAGCATCACCCGAGAAGAATGTTTGCACGTACAACAAGGCGTAACCAATTGGATGACATGCATAATTGAATATATCTTGAATGGAACACTACCGACCGACCCTTTGGAAGCAAAGAAAATGAGAACAAGGGCGGCCCGGTATACCATGATAGCCGGTGAGCTGTACAAACGCGGTGTCTCGACACCTCTCCTGAAGTGTCTAGCACCCGAACAAGCACATTATGTCTTGCGGGAAATTCATGAAGGCGTGTGTGGAACTCATTCAGGAAGTCGAACTCTCGCAGCTAAGATAATTCGGGCCGGTTATTACTGGCCCACTTTGACAGCCGATTGCGCCAAGTTTGTGCAATCCTGCAAACAATGTCAGCAACATGGGCCCCTGACACATCAACCTCCGGAAGAGCTCCATTCCATAACCACCCCATGGCCATTTTCCATTTGGGGCATGGACATCCTAGGACCATTCCCGCCAGGCAAGGGGCAAGTGAAGTTCCTCGTGGTGGCAGTAGATCACTTTACTAAGTGGATTGAAGCAGAAGCGTTGACCACCATCACGGCCAACAATGTTCAAAAGTTCTTCTGGAAGAACGTCATTACCCGTTTCGGAATACCATATGCCTTGATAACAGACAATGGTCTATAATTCACCGATCGACGCTTTAATGAATTTTTGACCGAGTTAGGCATCAAACATAAGATGACCTCGGTAGAGCATCCCCAATCCAACGGACAGGCCGAAGCAGCAAACAAAGTCATTCTTAAGGAATTAAAATGACGTCTCGGACAAGCCAAAGGATCATGGCCGGACCACCTACCCGACATCCTATGGGCATACCGTTGCACTCCACAGAGCTCAACCAAGGAGACCCCTTTTCGGTTAACTTACGGCACGGATGCAGTGATTCCGATCGAAGTAGGGGAACCTTCGCTAAGACGAATACGATTCGATGAAGACGCTAACGAACAAGCACTCAACATCGAGCTGGATTTGATCTACGAAGCACGCGACCAAGCCCTCGTCAACATGGAGGCATGCCGAACCAGGTTAACCAGAAAACTCCGAACGAAAGTAAAACCAAGGGAATTTCAAGCCGGAGATCTCGTTTGGCGAGTTACAAGGGAAGCAAGAAGAGACAAAGCTCAAGGCAAGCTCGCCCCTAATTGGGATGGCCCTTTCCGCATGCATAATGCATAACTTGAAGAACGGGGCCTACAAGCCAGAAGAGCTCACGGGAAAGGCCATTCCCCGAACATGGAATGCAACGCATTTGAAACATTATTTCAGTTAATATTTTGTAATTGTTTCGGGGCACTCTTTTCCTTTCCTCAGGTTTTTTCCTCTCATAAAAATGTGAAGGAGGTTTTACTGAGAAAAAGGTTTTTAACGAGGCTCCACATTCAATGAAACAAACACCTTTTGCAGAAACTTATAAAAATTTGTTCAAGCTATACGAACTATCTTTAACAAATACCTTTATCAAATTCAGCAAAAGCACTCCCTCCCGAGCACTCTAGCTCGGCTAAGGTTGAGTCATTAAAGCCCTCTCGAGTACCTACTACTCGGCCAAGGACGGACAAACAATCCCTCCCGAGTATCTACCACTCGGCCAAGGTTGAGCACTTGATCCCTCTCGAGTACCTACTACTCGGCCATGGACGAACACATAACTCCCCTCCCGAGTACCTACTACTCGGTCAAGGATGAACATAATAGCCCTCCCGAGTACCTACTACTCGGCCAAGGACGAACACATAACTCCCCTCCCGAGTACCTACTACTCGGTCAAGGATGAACATAATAGCCTTCCCGAGTACCTACTACTCGGCCAATGATGAACATAGTTTCCCTCCCGAGTATAACTACTCGGCTAAGGACGCATATTTAAAACCCTCCCGAGCACCCTCGTTCGGTCAAGGATGAATATCTAATTCCCCGCCGAACACCTTTTTTCGGCTAGGGTTGAAAAAGAAAATCCCTCTCGAGTACCTACTACTCGATCAAGGACGGACAAAGACTCGCTCCCAAGCACTATGACTCGGCCAAAGTTGAAAACGCACCCTCCCGAGTACAACTACTCAGCCAAGGCGGAAGACTTATTCCCTCCCGAGCACTTTGGCTTGGCCAAGGATGAATAAGCAGTTCCCCGCCGAACACCCCCGCTCGGCCATGGTTGATTCGATAAGGCCCTCTCAAGCAACCTGCTCGGCTGAGATATGTTAATTAGAACTGCCTCCCGAGTGCCCAGGGTCAACCTCCTACCCCTATTCGGCTGAATCCATATATTTAGCCTTCCCCATTCATCTCGGTCACTCGAGATTTTACATTTAAATCGTTCTTACTTAGCTGAGAGGACCACCACCAAAAAAGCCATTCGAAAAATGGATTCCAACCTTCTCGGTCACGCAAAACACTTAGAAAATATCCGAATCTTCCAAAACAAATCCGAGCTGGTTCGTTTGACATGGATTGCTCGAAATTGAAAATACAGAATATGCAGAAACATAGCAAAACTCCAGGGAGATGCATAAGAAGAAACAATTCATTAACAGATGCTAAGGCTGAAACGACACTATTGGCCGAAGGGTACAAAGGCGATGCGGCTCAAATAGCCCAAAAATAACAATCAATCAAAAAGAAAAGCACCCTATATCTATACATCTTTAACAAAACGGATGTATGACCAAAAAACACAAAAGCGCCGAAGCCTATCAATCGGCATGCGTGGTCTGCTCGGTCTCCTCATCCTCGTTCACGGTTTCACCAAGGTCCTCGGGCTCGGCAGATCGAGGGGGGGCAACTGATCCGACTCAGCATCATCGTCGGCCTCGGCAAAGTCCAAGAATAATCCTTTGAAAAAATCCTTGCTCAGCTCGAAGGAGAAGTGAGGAGGGAAGGTGCCGAAGTGGGTAGCTTGCCAAACGGCATGCCAAAAGCCCTCCTCGTGCTCCTTGATTATCTTGTCTTCACATTCAGACTGAAAACGCGCCAAGGAAGCATCAGCCTCGGCCTTAACCTCTGCCACCCTCGCCTCCATCTCCTCCACCCTCCTCTTTTCAGCGTCCTCGGCTGCGACCGCCCGGCCCTCCATCACGCCCAAGGCCTCTTTCAGCCGAGCCACCTCCACCTCTAGAGACATCATCTCGGCAGATGTTGCCTCATGCGCCTCAAAATTGCGGTCGCCCTAACCTGCAACTCGCATGCCATTGCCCATTGAGCCGCAGGGGCGGCCGAATCCAACATTCGATGACCCTGCTCGGATAGTAGATCACAAGACATCATCCGCCGGACGTATCTCCTCCGAAAGAAAATCCTTGGCAACAATGGCCGAAGGGATAGCCAAGTCTGTTGAAGGCTCTTCAGTGCGATGATGCTTCGGCTGCGTTGTCTCACCACCTACCACGTCGGCTCTCCTTTTACCCTTGTCCCTTTTCTTTTTCGGATTTGGATCAGGGAGCACCACGTCTCGAGGAGGGGGCCGAGGGGCATAAGACGCCCCTAGCACCGCGTCAACCGCCACGCTACGGTGGTCTTCGGTAGAACCACCCGCCGGGGCCCGGGCCCGAACCGCCTGTCGGTATGACAATCCGCGACCTTGTTGCGCCATATAACCTGCAAAAATAAAAGAGTCACACATCAAATCAACTAGAAAAACTGACAGAAAACACAAATACATACCCTCTAACTCAAAACGAGGACGAGCCGATTTGGGCAAAAGCACCAAGAACCGAGCGGGGATCCCCGGGGGTAATTCTTTCAAGTATTTTAACGCCGAAACCTCAACCTCCGACATCATCTCCTCCGGGAAGTCGTCATACTTCTGAGGCTGCTGAGTCCAATAGAAAGGAAAAAGGGGTTTCCTCTCGGCATCGTAAAACCAACTCGGGCCGGCAACGGGGTCTATGATTACCTTTACAAACCCTGACTTAAAACCCTTGAAAGACGAAGTATAGGGTTTCAACAACGGTCGGTCGGCATGTCTAATTAGCGAAAGCCACTTGACAGTCTTATTTGATGGACGGGTGCAGAAAAAATGAAGGAACATGCCAACACTCGGCTCTATATAATGGTATTTACACAAAAATCTGAACGCTTGCATATAAGCCCAACCATTCGGGTGCAACTGGGTCGACGCTACGTTCAAAACTCGAAGAAATCCCATTTGGAAGTCGTCCAAAGGGAGTGACATGCCGAGCTCACAGAAAAAATGCTCGTACATATAGAAAAAATCACCTTGGTCCTCCTGCTTCGCAAGAAAGACCAAGTCGGCCCCTCCGGGGCCTTCGGATCGGCACCTACGCAACCTCACCGGGTATTGATCCGAATCCTCCCACCGAGCCAACGTGCAAGCACCTAGGAGGCGCTCCACGGCACTCCTCTCATAAAAACGCGAGAAATAGGCCGCTACCTCCCCATCTACCCATTCGTACCCCAGAATCTCACATGGGGGAATTTCTGTCTATAATCCCCAAGACTCATCTCGGCATCTGGAAGGTCAGAACCTGATGAACTCTCGGACTCACCAACAGGACCCGACTCGATGGAACCCTCGAGGACCTCTACTTTGGCATTATACGCCAGCATCTCTGCCTCGGCCTCATTGACCGACGCCCTTGCGCTGGATGAGGACCCGGATGACAACGTCACACCTTCGGCAGCCATTATCAACAAAAATACCCAAAACCCTAACGAAACCTACCTTTAAAGTATTCGGCTCGGAGCAGGGAGAGCTTCGGGACAGTGTTTGCAAAATAGTAGATGTGAGGAAGGGGGCCACATTAACATCATATATATAGGAAAAACCTCGGGCAACCCAAAAGCCCTTCATTAATGCTCTTGGAAGTGAAAAGACGCTTTGTCAGTGCTCGAAACCCTAGGATGAGCACGCGTGCAACGGTCACAATCACCAAAGGGCACACCCCCCGAAATGGGTACGGAAACCCTAGAACTCACCAATGCCACACTAAAACCCCTTCGTCTTTCATCCTTGGCCTTGGGGGGGGCAGTGTACCAGTAAATACCCCCTTCGGTCGGAAACTAGGCCAAGAGGGACACCAAAACAAATGAAAGCTTCCACACGACCCCCCCCTTCGGGTTGGAACCTGGCCGAATAAGTTCTCGGCCAAAGGAATAACCGAATACCCCTCCATCATGAAGGAAGAACCTTGACAAGACAAGTACCTATGAAGGACGCTCAGGACACCCCTCGGCATTGAGCCCAGCCGAACACCCTTTCGGCCCCAAGCAAAATAGAACACCCTATCGGCCCCAAGCAAAACCGAATCCCCCCCTTCGGCCTCGAGCCTGGCCGAATACCTGAGAGAAGGACAAATCAGGGAACACCCCTTCGGCCTCATGCTCTGCCGAATACCTCCTGCGGCCTCAGACTTGACCGAATACACCCCTTCGGCCTCATGCTCTGCCGAATACCTCCTGCGGCCTCAGACTTGACCGAATCCCCCCCTCGGCACCAAGCATACCACTTCGAACCTGAAGCTTGGGAAAAATCCCTAAGTCATAAAAGAAGCATCTAAAGGGAATGCTCAAACATACCCCGCGACATGGAGCTACACCGGACACCCCTTCGGCTCCATCCTAGGCCGAGCACCCCTCATCAACCTAGTCCATACGAACACCTCTTCGGC